CTGTTTTTGTTCTGTTTCAGCAGCGAAAATAGTTCCAAACAAAAATCACAGCAGAACCACGGGGCATCTCACAGGAACACTCACTGTTTTCATTACTGAATGATTCAGCGTTTTGAACGAATCGATTGAGTCAAAGATTCAATGACCCATTCATAAACATCTGTCTCAATCTTGAATGAATCAGCCGTTTGAACAAATCGTTTGAATCATGAATGAATCAATGACTCACTCATTAAGACGGTCGCCTGCCGCCACCTACTGGCGGTTTGTGTTATGTTTAAAAGTAGATCATTCTTTCCAACGTTTCTAATTTGTAAATTTAAATCTATTTCATAACATTATTTTATGCAATTGTAATTTTTCAGTGTAAATGATTTAATTTGATCAGCCCTATAGTGTCTTATTATTCGAAATAATTTAATTTATTGATCAAATTTAGGAATTTAAAATGAAAGATGAAGCATACATTTAATAATATTGGGGGAGGGGATGCCCTTTAAAGGTGCAAGTATTACAATATGCCGATTTAAATATCAAAGCTAATTGAACACTGATGAGAATATTGTTTCAGAATAAATAAATAAATAAATAAATAAATAAATAAAAAAATTTGGACGAGAAACTTTTTTGACAAGCGTATGAAAGGCTTAATCTCGAGCCCTGCCTATAGCAATGTCATCAGGATGTGGTCCACCAGAATTTATAGTTTACCCACCTCTTTTTTTACCACTAAACCTCTGAATAAAACGTACGAGTCCCAGTCACGCCGAACCTCTCTTCTTCCTTCCAAACACTGAAGACTGAACCTCATTACAATGGCCCTTAAAGAATGTTTAAAAATTGTAAATGGCCCTTGATAGGAAAAAGGTTCCCCACCCCTGGCGTACAGGCTCCAGGTGAAGAAGAAAGATTCTGAGGGTTTGGCGCTCTGCATCACCTATATTGGGCCATTGGCTTTTGCAAGAGTTATTCAAATCAGGCTTCAGCAATTCGAGGAAATGGATTTCCCCATACGTAATGTCGAGGGACCGACGCGAAAAGGGAACAGCTATTCAGCTGATGGACACCATGCTGCATTGTCATGGGAACATCCCAGGTGTAAATAATGAGGAATTACGCTGTCTTTCGTTGCTACTTCACCAAGTGCGTTTCACACGGCAACATAATGGCACACTGGTGCCCTGCTCACTCCAAAGTCCCACTTTAAGGGCTCTGCCGCCTGCCCTTCGAAAGGAGTAGGGCATAGGGAAGCTCACGAGCAATAAGCATGTCCCAGCCGGGTTTGTCACTTATTTGGTTCCCCTGGAAACATTTCCGTTGTGGTCTGTGTTATTTGCAGCGTGTTTCTGTATTTGGAGCACACGTGTTGTGAAACTGATAATGATGTTTTTTTTAATTTGCAGGTGTTTTTTTCTATTTGCATGTGTTTTTTTTCTATTTGCATGTGTTTGCTTCAGTTGCAGCGCCTTGAGCTCTCTCGGCCACAGTTGGAATCGCATAGCCTTACCCTGGAGCTGGTTCACCCTCCGCCTATGCCTATGCCCCCTGCCCTCTACTTTTCAATGCATGGCATGTTTCTATTTTTCTCTTTTTCTTTGGTTCTTTACACTAATTTAATCAGTATTCTTAAAAAAAAAGAAAGAAAAAAAAACATTATTTTGAAATGTAGCCTACTTAACATTCATGCTTGATTTTTTTAATGGGGTCATAATGGTACATGCACTTTTACAAGTTGATTGTACTGAAATGTGTGTTGGCAGTGCCTGTACACAACCATCCTATAATGATAAAAATCCATCCAGTGTTTTTGTTTTAATCTCCTTATATGTTTTCCCGTGTCTCAAATCGAGCCGTTCGACCGTGTGACGCCCCTCCCACGATTGTTGATTGACAGCAGCGTTTCCACACAGACACGCCCTGAGCGAGCTGTCATCATAGTCCGCTATTGTTGATACGCTGGAGCAGAATGGCGTCTAAGCGATTGTGGTGTTCTGTTCTTGGGTGTAATAACGAACACAGCAGTCATTTTAATGTTCCTAAATCCGACAGTGGCTGAGTTTTGTTTTCGAAGGGAATATTCCCCACTATCAACATCAATGCTTTTATGTTTGCGCGAATCATTTCTCACCAGACTGCTTTATAAGGGTCAGTATGAGCTGGTTTTGCTAAGAAGCTGCTCCTGAAAAAAGAATCGGTACCAACTATTCGTGTCCCCGCTGCACCTCCAGAAGAAGTAAGTGTAAAGTTTTATTAACCATATTAATCTTTGCAAATCGCGAAAAAAGTTTTTCATGACCATTAACTTAGTTGTAACGCCAATCTGTCAATGAACTAACATCAGTAAACACATAGCGTTTGTATCTCACTACTCTACCCTGCCAGTGCATACAAAAATAGATCAAAGTCACATTACGTTAACCAACCATTCAGAAACGTCCTGTTCGAGCCTTAATTGTCTAACTTCTTTGCGGCCGTCATCTTGTTCCGGGTCTGACTCCGGTTCAAATTGATACGGTTGCACAGATGTGTCCTCAGAGACTCCCGCTGCCATTCTCTCTCCAAAATATACCCTCAACTGTTGTCAAGGCAACACTCCACGTGCATTGTGCAAAACTCCCCACAGAACAGAGGGGCGGAGTGAGCGAAGCTCATTATCATTTAAAGGCAAATGCACTGAAACGGCGTGCTGAAAACAGAGCTGTTTTTGACCAGGTAAAATTAGTGTTTTCTTAAAATACTAATGAGAATTTTTAATAAAAGTATATTACAAAGTATTCATTTAGACCCTAAACATTCATATTAACTTGTACAAAAATGCCATTATATGACCCCTTTAACAAAATTAGATTTTCACTAAAGTCAAACCAATGTCAGATAGTGTAGAATTTGGTCAGATAAAAATGTGATGTATGTAAAATTCTGTACGTCTTTTGAGAATTTCTGAACTTGCTTTACAGTTTTTGACATATTTTGAGCCGAAGACAAAATGCATGAAAATGATTCCTTTTGCATATGGCACATTCATAATCATGACTTAAATTCTGAATATATTCATGATTTTGTTGTCATGATGAATGTAATAAGTGATTCAGCTACACTGATGTAATTGTTATTGCTTCTATTTTTTCCTCTCAATCACACCATTGTGCTTTATCTGTTAAGCCAGCCAATGTATTAGTGTTATTGAATTCACTCAGTTGCAATCTTAGAGCTGATGCAAAGCACAAACACTTTCATGTTTTCATTAGCTAAGTGTTTCTGAGGATGTGAGTGCCATGAAAAATAAAGTTTTATGCAAGTCATTTTATAGCTGAAATTGGATCATGAAAAATGTCATGATAATAAATAGTATTAGCATTGTGGAACACTACATTCATCCGGTTTTTAAATTTGGCATTCGTTTCTTACTAAAGTATAAGGAACATAGCTCAGTAATGGCTCTTAAATGATAGTATTGTTTTGATGTATTTACCGATCATGAACAGCAGGTGGCGGTGTTAAACAATTTTTTTCGCACCATTAACGGGCAACATTTATGTTCATTTTGTGAATTTTAATCCACTTAGAATTTTCTCACATTGTTGGAACAGAGCTTATGTTTACATAAACTTGGCAAAGGTAACCTCAGTTTGATAGTCTAGGTTTTGCATTAGATAAAGTTAATTAAAGTTAATTGCATTAGATATTTAGCATGTGTCTTAAATACTGTATCTTCTTTTTATTAGTTATAATAGAAAAGCCTCACTTTTGTTCTAAGATATGCACACATTATAATTTATTGATTCTGTAAAGTGTGTGATTTCAAGCCTGTCATTGAGAAATTTCTCTGAGCACAGTTCACTGTGTCAAACATATTAACCATCATTCTAGCCTAATCAGTGTCAGTTCAAGACCTTAGCCTTGCATTAACTTGAATGGATTGTAACCGTGGAATGATTATCAATTTTGCTCAACAGTTCGAGGGCATAAAGCAACACAGGATTCTTGCAGGAGTTATTGGGGTCAAAAGATAATGGGATATTTCATCATAATCAGAGAGCAGTGGGGTCATGGGAGAAATTACCTGCTGTTCAGTGCTATCTGGACTTATTCAGACATCAAATGTATGACAGTCAAACATTGTCTCTCTCTCTCTCTCTCTCTCTCTCTCTCTCTCTCTCTCTCTCTCTCTCTCTCTCTCTCTCTCTCTCTCTCTCTCTCTCTCTTACAGCCATGATTCAGAGGATGCTGCAAAGGCTTTGGTGTCATTACCACAAAATTGTTTAAAACCCTAAAAACTGTGGTAATGACTAATGTAGGCCTACTTTTCTGAAATTATATGGAATTCAATTGTAAGTCTGTTTATCGGTTCATATAATTACAAATCTTGGATAATTGCAGGGCGAATGGCAATTATATGTTCTGCAGTCAGAAGGGTGCATTTACAGAAGACTAACACTCGATATTTATCAGCACTATTTAAGTCTGTCTAGATGCTGGTGTAATGCAACCGATTGACTTTTATTCTGTATGATGAATGAACATTGGCTGCATTTTACATTAATGATAAAACAGTTGCATTTAATTCACTGCCTAAATTGCACATCTTAAAATCAAATCTGGGATTTTAGTATTTTCAGTGACCTCTTATTGCCTTGTTAATAATAGATGTAGCGTGTGTGTAAAATAGGCTACGTTTGATATAGGCAGCTATATATCATACAAATAAACATTTTCAACAAACGTAAAGTATTTGACCAATTTGCAACAACAGTCTTTCGCTACTCTTGTTCAGAAACACATAAATAGTAGGCTAGCTATGTAGAAATGTATGCGCGCATATGTTTTGAAGAACATCTTGTGAGTGAGATCATACTATAATTATTGCTATACTTTATCATTTGCGTTTCAAAGCTAAAACCATCTTCTGCCTTTGAATAGCTCTTTCTACTTATTCTACACTTTCAGCTCTCAAAGTCGGAGCATTCGTGTTAAAATATAAACTGTTAAAGCGTTCAATTAGTTTCAAATGAAGTTGAAAGTGTGGTATTTGAAGAGAAGCGCGCGCAGGAAGCTGCTCGGCTGTATTTCTGTTGGCTGAGTGCAGACCCTGCCCTGATTGCCTTATATCCATGTCTATTGACGTGTAGAGAGCAGATGGAGGCAGAGGGACTGATCTGATCTCTAGTCCTCAGAGGTCATTCTCGCTACAGTTACAGCCACTTGTTGCCAAATCGCTGAGACCGCGAGCGCGTCGCGAAACCGCTTTCATAAAGAGCTATTTCTTTGCTTTCACGACACAGATCTAGATGTTGAGACGGGAATACAAACACTTCTGACTTTGTTTGGGGGAAAAAGGTCACTTTTGAGCAAATTCGTCGCATTTGACGGGAGAAGCATGGTTGACAACACAAGCATAGCAACTAAATCTGCACTGGTAAGCACGCGCTTTGCTCTTCTGGTAGAATATAGAGTTGTTTACTCGGTACATTAATTTAAATATTGTATTTCAATCTTAAGTGCAATTATAAACTGTTTATAGATTACCGCATGTTCTGAACTACATTACACAGCCCTTCGACCTATAGCTATTCTACCATCAATAGCAATAGGCTATACATTGTCATATTTCTGTCATTGAATAGTTCGAGGTCGTTTTTTGCACATCGCACCAGAAATGTGACATTGCTTCATTGATGCTGGCCGTCAGGTTTATAGTTTATCTTGTTAGTGGAATAATTTCCATAGGAAACCACGATTCTTGCCTAACCCAGTACATGCAAAGTTATTTTATCCTGAACTGCTGCACCGATTTGATCGATAATGTCATCTGAACATAAAAATTAGCCCACAAAATTAAAAAAGTTGAATTGCTGCATTAAATTAAGTTAAAGCGGTGCCTAAGTTACCTGCAGTGATGAGTTCAGTTTTTCAACTAGCCTACTTTAATTGCTAATGAAGAAAAACTAGTAAAAATAACAAATTACGGGGACAAGTTAAATGGATGGAAACAAAGTTAGGACATTGATGAGAAGATTTTTACAATGTGCATCAGTCATGTATTTTTTTATATTAAAAAAATAGGCCTACAGTGTTTTGCCTTTTTATGCTAGCCTACTAGTAGACAGCTAGTTAATAACCATTTCAACCAGTAGCCTATGCAAATGACTTACAACTAAAGTTTCGACATACTTTTGAATACATTTTGACATATATGTTCTACACATTTTAAAGAACGTCTGCTAAAACTATAAAATGTAAATGTAATTTTCGTGATCATCTGTCTTGGGCACATTGTAATTTGGCGCCACATCAGTTTATCACTAGCTAAACAACCTAAAATACTTTAGGTAAATAAAGTAAAAACTAGTTTTTGTAGATTAAAGTTTTTGTAACTATAGTTCTTATATGAAAAACTACAATAAAATTATACACAATGTTTTTACATTTTATTGCACCGCCTGAAACTGATTGACAGTGTGTGAACTAACCTAGGCTACTTACATTGTTGGGCTATCTGGTCGTTACCGTCTTTTTTGATGATAGGTGTAAATACGTGCTCCAACTAACTTACTTTTATACTTACTAAAAACGCCAACTAGCCTACAATTGTATGAAAAATATGTAGCCAACTTAACTCTCCCTCCCCCACCCCCAACAAAATATTTTGGTATCTTTTTGCAGGGGGCTCAAGTCTTAATTAATGGGGGTCTGACTCCACTAAACCCCCATAATTCGCACCACGCTTCCAGGTAAATTTTAACATTTGCATTGTATTGCCCACAGCAAGCCGCTTTCTCGTCGGCGAGCACTCTTCCTCTGCTGGTCAGCTCCTCCAGCGCCCACAGTCAGTCGAGCGGCGGCGGCGGGATGAAGCTGGAGGCGGTCATGGAGAACCTGCAGCGACAGCAGGCGGCTCGACTCGCCCTGGAGGAGAAGATCCGCCAAGCCGAAAAAGAGAAAGACATCAGGTCTATGGTGGAGTCGCAGATTCATCAACAAGCTCTGGCTTTCCGCCACTATCAAGCAGCTGTCAGGGGAGCGTTCGCTGCGGGAGCTCCGAACTCGAGCTCCGGCCACCCAAATGAGCGCACAGCCGACTCCGACATCGATGATGATGATGATGATGATGCTGACCTAGACTTGGACCGCGGCATGGATGACGAAGAGCGCGACTTGGATGAAGATGACAGTATGAACGAGGGTGGAGGGGATGAAGATTTGGAAGGACCCCTAGCTCACTACCCACCGCGCCATGCTGTTTATCCCGGTGCGGGGCAGTCTCCAAAAAGTACCCCGATACATCTATCCAGAATCCAGCCTCCCTATCCAGGTCCAGGACAGGTTGAATCACCGAGTGGTTTGGCACCACAATCACAATCGCAGCAGCACGAATGGACTTATGAGGAACAGTTCAAACAGGTATGTCCATGAGTGAGATTCTAGATGCACTTTAATAACCATTGAATGTGCACTCCAGTGAACCGTATGGTGATTACTAATGTGGAACGTTTAAAAGCATGAAGTGAGATTGGGTTTAGTCCTGTGTGAAACTGCTTGCTGAAGTCCCAGCATCTTTCATAATAGCTAGACGTCATCATACACAAAAAACTGAATTTTCCAGAGGAAACGACATGGCAGTACTAGAACTTTAATGCTTGATCTTAATGTAAACTATACAGCCCAGACTCTTGATTCATGCATTGACATTATATATTGAGAATATCAGGTTTAATTGCTGCTTTAGTGTCCACTTTCATCATTACCATAGACAAACAGCCTGCACTGTACATTTTTCCCACTTATGAAGATTAATCACTGCATTAAATTTTTAAGTAAAATCAAACTTACTGCAGTAATAGGTTTATACATTACACTTTTTGGACTACTTTGGATTTAGAAAGATTAATTGCCTAAATATTTGCTTAAAATATTTAAATAATCACCATTTCATAATTTAGGTCTAAACGTGTGTTTTTTTGCAGAGTACATAAAGAACAAATGTGTTGTTATTAGAGTCTTTGTTGTTGATGTGTATGAGTACAAAATACTAGTGTGGCTTCAATTGGTTTTGATTGTTTTAAAACAGATTTTTGTATCACAACTGGATGTTTTAGTTATTCAAAGTCAGCTAGAACAACTGTAAATTCAGGATTATGTGCGAGTGAGAATGTTTCTGAGTTATGCTGCAGCAGTTTAGTTCCACTGAATTCTCAGGGGATAATTTAGAGTGATACACTGAGAGTGAGGCTCTTAAGCAAACACAGATCTATACGGAACGAGCCTGGATGGACTTGTCATTCCTTATTTATGATAGATCATTCAGAGACCTGGCCAAATGAGACATGCACATTAGCGGCTGCATTAGTGTAAGCACTGGCTTAACGTAGGGGATACAATGCAGTTTGAATAAAGACATCTGCTTTGATTGACATTGATGAAATTGAGGAAAATTGCGCATCAAACGTATCTCAAACAAATTCAACAGAAGAAATTTAAACTCCAGTTGTCATTATAATGTAAATAGATAGTTTGGTTTTAATTTATATTATATTAATTCATTTATCATGTAAGATTAATACCAACCAACCACAATCTTTTCTTTAAAAAAAAGAATCTACTCAGGACAGTGTTACATAACAATTAATGTTGTTTTGCAGAAGTCTAGGACATGCATTTTGTAATCGCTATTTGGACAAATCAAGTGAAATGCAGAAACAATGAAAGGATGCCGATGGCATTTGGCAGACTGACTGGAGCCAGTGTACTGCCTGTTTTCAACACTTTAAAAAAAATGTCTAAATGCTATAAAGGCCTTCTTGAAATAAGAATGGCTGTTTTGAGGAATGTAAAAATAGACTGAGGCATTAAACTTGTGTGACCAAATTCCTGGTGTCTGTATTTACGAAAGTAATTAAAACGCTAAATATAGACCATGCTTAGCTTTTAAAGATCTTTCAAAGTCAGCTCAAATTGTTCTGTACAATATTTCTTAGTTAAAACTAAACCCAAAGATCTAAATAACTCAATTATGAAAACTAAATATAAGGTCTTAAAAAAGCTATATGTGTAACATTGTTTGCACTTTGTCATATATTAATTTCTCTTTCAGTTAACCGTAAGATGGATGTGTGTAGCAATTCTATTTGCACTGATATTAAAAATGAGTCATTCAACAAAGGAAAACAGAATAGATAGGAAAGAGAGCCAGACAGGGAAGGATCGGAAGAGACCAAGTTAGACCGGTTGCCATATGGCCGTTTATTGTCAAAAAAACAGTGAGGGGAGAGGGGGGGAAAAGCAAGTAGTTGTGTAGAGTTTTGGCAGGAATGCAGGAAACTAGACCTGATGGCATTCCAACCTGGCTCCCTCCCAATAACGCTGGGATATCCCTCTCAGGCTGCGTATGGGTCGGCTCGAAGCCAAGCCATTACGAAATAGGAACAAACTGCATACTTCATCACAGTCTAGCCAGACAAACATTTGTGTGTGTGTCCACAAAGACAATCACATTCTGTTGTACACTTAAATATTTATTGCTTTTACTTTTATTTATTTAGTGTTTGTTAGATGCATGCACATGCATTGAAATGCACAAGTTTTCTTTGCTTTGCACAAATGTTATTACTTTCTGTAGCACTGTTTTCTGAAACTGATTTTTTTTTTAACCTAAAATCTTTACTGTCACTTTTGATCAATTTAATGCAACCTCGCTGAATAAAAGTATTAATTTCTTTGAAAAACCACACTGACATCAGACTTCCAAACGATACTGTATGTTTTATCAAACTGGCTCCACTTTAGAGTAAATATGCTTTATCAGCAGGCTATATATCTCAACCTATTTGAAGCACATATCAAATGCTCACTAAAGGTACAGAGTGTACTTTTTCCCCTCAGCAAATATCACTCTTTTGATTACTCAGACCGACCTCCACTTTGGTTTCGGGGCGTATGTTTGATCCCCCCTCACCCTACCCCCCGTCTCTCTCTGCCATGTTTTGCAAACATGAAAAAAACTCACATAATGGCTTTTTCCCATAACAAGGATTTTACAGGACCATAGAGGGGGCTGGGCAAGGCTGAACGGGGTGGAGGAAACCCGACAGTGGTGTTTGATTTCACTATAAGCTTGTGGAAAAGGAGGTTTCTCTTTCCTTCTTCAGTCCGCTTTAGTTAAATTAGTCTAATGGAATTTTTTTTTTATATATACATTTTTTTTTGTTGCCTCAGAGGATATTAGCACTCTCTAAACTCTGAACTCTGTTTGTTCTAAGGCTCAGAAGAGACATATCAACTGTTTCAGTCTCTAGAAATAATGGTTTGAAACCTGTGTAAATTCAAAATAATCTGTTTGCATTTTATAATTGCAGTTCCAAGCAGATTATCGAGTATCGAGGCAGCCAGCTGTGACCTAATTTACTCAAACACTCACGATTAAGCAAAACATCTCTTGGAGAAAATAGGAAATGAGGCAATTGTGAAATCATTGAAAGGAAGACAACGTTCCCTCCTAGCCAGGAAGGCGAAGTAGTCTTTGTGGTTAAACAAACTTTGTCAGTGGGCAGGGGTTTAAAGATATGCACCTCTTTGTTTTGCTGGATACTTTTGTGAAGAGGAAAAAAAACTTGTGGAAGTGAGAGACAGAGGCTATATGCGCCCAAAACAGACTTAACCCATGAGCCTCCACGGATAGTCTGCTGATATATTTAAATGGCCAGTCCTAAAGTCTTCTCAAGTAACACACTTCAATTCAAGCCAATTAATACCATCATAAAAATGTTTGGAGCCCTTCTTTGAAATCGACACATGCTCACACACACACTAACACACACACTAACTCCGGTGTCAACACACACAGTAACTCCGGTGTCAACACAAGACATTCCTTGACTTTACAGGCCTGCTCCACCCCTACGGTATCCCCTTCTGTTTGATTGCTCTGCTTTGCTCATATGTTTTGGGGTCCTGAGAGCCATTAAGTGCCCCAGCATGAAGTCTCAAGCTAAAACACATGCATGGAGCTAATTCTCCATATGGCACAGAGGTTGTGATTTTTACCTAGCAGCACTATCGTTGGCCTTCTGTGGTATGAGCTAACCCAGGCCTTCCGACAGCTGTGGCAGGTTCATTTTGGACGTGTGCTGTCAGTGGAAATATTGAATAGAATTCCAGTCGTTTCAGTTTTAGATCGCCTTGTAAATAAGAGCTTCCTTTAGCTGTGTCCAATTGGTGGGTTGTTATAAATCCCTGTTGACATGTCATCAGCTGCCAGAATTGAGGAGAGCTGATCAGCCTGCTCTGAACATGAACCATTCTGAACATTCAGAACTGGTCACAGGCCCACAGCTAGAGCTATATCATCTTGCTCACTGACTATAATAACAAAAACAGTGTCACGTCAAAGTGAGAGCGTTCCACTTTAATCCTGTGTTTGCCACTGTCTCGGTCATCAAACCCTGTTAGTTAATGTATGTATGCGTCTTTTAGAGTATATCTTGAGCAAGAGGCTGATAAATATGCAAATAGTCTTTTTTTTTTAATGCTTTTTTATCATTAAAAAGGTTATATTTTCATTGGTATAAACCTATTGTATTCAGTAGAAATGCACAATATATTAGTATCATACCAGTTTTAATATTGGATTTTTAGCTCTGATATAGATGAATTTACTCAACCCAAGCCATTGTAGACCACATGGTATCATTTAGACATGAATTGTGTATATGTTTTCTTTATTTTTACATTTAGATTACCCTATGTAATCTTTACCCTATGTAAAAGTAATCTTCAGCAAATCTCAAAATAAATACTGTATAATTAACTTATAGCCTGATGTTTTTATGCCTAAATTCACTTGTAAAACGGTTAATTTTATTACTAGTATGTTTTATTGTTATTTTTATATAATATATAATATAATTTTGTATTGAATATTGGCCAATAACAGTGTTTCCCACAGGATTTTGTGAGACTGTGGTGGGTGTATCTCAGTCCCTCTAGGGCCATGGAAGAAAATGTTGTACATTTTAAAGTTAAATTCATCAATCTGGTGCACTTTGAGAGTTCAAAATTAGGAGCTTCAGCCCATGTTCAGTGTGCAAATTGAACAAAGGAAAAAGACGGTGAATTGACTTGTACCTGAAATTTAAAGGGGACTCAGCCCTCTTTTTAGTTATAAACTGAGATAGTGTCTCAGTCTACATTAATTTAACACTGGTGTTTTTGAAAGCTAAACAATTAGAATATAATAATAATAATAATTCCCATGACAGCCATATATTTTTTACAAACAAATGCACTGTAAAATAAAGGAATATTTCATAAGTATATTATTTATTTACTTTACACTACAGTAGGGTAACTAATTACACGTGTGTCCTAATTTCTACACTTGCAACTGCAAGAGATAACCATAGGGC